ACGTTTTATGCGAACTAAAAAATTTTTGTGCAAAATAATATAATTCATTTATCTGAAGATATCTCACAAAAAATAATTTTTAATAAATATTTATTATTTTATTTAATAATAGTCGAAAAATTTTTTAATTTCAATTAGTACACATTTTATGTATGTATATAAAATGTGTATATAAAATATGGGATAATTTAGACAGGAGATAGTTTAGTCAGCAGATTGGTCTAAAGTTTCGACCCCTTAAATGTTAATTTTACATTTTGCATATTTCGAGAACGTTTTAAGCGAACTTAAATTTTTTTGTGCAAAATAATATAATTCATTTATCTGAAGATATCTCACAAAAAATAATTTTTAATAAATATTTTATTTAATAACAGTGGAAAAAATTTTTAATTGCAATGAGTACACATTTTATATATTGTAATTTTATTTGGCAGAAAATCTAACTGATTTGGTTCGGATGAATAGTTCCCGAAATATCGAATTTTAGACTTGTGAGAATACTGGAGATCACTTTGAGAATATTAGTCTAAAACTTAAAGCAATGACCTTCCCTTCCTCAACCCTAGTTTGTCGAACAGTTTCCTGAGCCATAAATTTCTATTGTCAAACAAGTAGTTTTTCTGCTGCACACTTTTTCTTTACATCCTTAGAAACACTTTTAAAAAGAGGTTAACTTAAGAACATATAAGTAAATAAACCTATAAATATTTTTTTGATACAAATAATATATTTTGTTTTACAAACGATCCAATTCTGAGTTTACAACTATCAATGTTCAATTCCATGGCCTTTTAATTTTGAACATAATCCAAAAGAACTCCTAGAATAAGCTTAGAGACAAACTAGCTTTTGTGGGGGACTTTTGATGGAACTAACCCGTTTCTGAGTTAGATAGAGAGGAAAACCACGAAAACCTTCCAAGGTTAGTCCAATGGCAAGGGCATTCTAACCCATGATCCGTCTACTGCTTAGGATATTTTTGACAGCACTGTGGTCCATGAGAGCCAGGAGCAAAATTCATATAGACCAGCCAGAGCCTGGGTCACCTTAGGCGAGCGTTCTATCAACTGAGTACAATATTTTTTTAAAAAAATAATAATAAGGAAATGAATAATTTTGAGAACATTAAGTTTAGATCTCGTTCGGCGTGCTAGTAATCAGGCGCTCTAGGCATTCACCTGCCCCTTCCGGCAGCCCTGATTTTGGGATCAGATTTGCTTCATAAAGTAGATTTATTGGTTTATGCAATGAATAACTTAAAGACCCTCCTACCACTTTTTATTCATTTCTTAAAATTGAGATCGCATTTTACTGCATTGCACAAAATGAAAGTTTGCGCAATGAAAGATAGGACAATTTCCAAGCAATGCTTCATGTGAAACTGTTTCTACCAATGGCAACAATTTGTGCCATTCCAATTTTTATGCTAAATGTTTTTTTTGTCTTTACAGGCATTCCCAATTATCAGAATTTTAGGAAATTTGGATTTGGAGGATTAATTTTGCAAAAGTTAAATCAAATGCAATTAAAATATAGATGTGTTTTTTCAGAAAAATTGAGTTTATTTTTGTAAAAATAAGCATATTCTGCTTTGGTTACAGTGAACTTTTATAAGAAATTTAAGGGATGATTTTGAGATATGCCATTACATTTTACAAAATGAAAATCTCACCAACTGTTCAAAAGTTACAAGAGTGATCAGATTTTTTTTTCTTCTTGTTACTCACTGTAGCTTCCCTATTGTTGTTTTTGTTTGCATTTCCTGCCATTGGAAATTTAAAAAAATGTGCGGCATTAGGTTAAACAGGAAAAATTTATTACAGGAGAACCTTATAAATTTCCCAAAATAAATTAAATTATCACTTTTTGGAATTAAATTGTTTTATATACTATATAAATGGGCTAGTTACTTCTTTTCCTTAAAACATCATATTAATCTTGATTGTTTCATCGCAAAATAAATATTCAATATTCTAAATTTATACTTTTAAAACTGTTACAGGCAAGAACAAATAAGAATACAACTTAACCAGAAAGTAATGATTATACAGAATTATTGTTTGTTGAACTTGAGGAAGACAAAAGCAGTTGCTGACAAGTAGAACAAGTCATGGAAACAAAATTTGAAACATCGTGTACACAAACAAATGCAATATGAAGAACATAATACACACACAGTGCTACCTGAGCACATGAAAAAGAAAATAAACTACCCTCACAGGCATTCGTACAGTTGTTATATAGTTGATTCCCCTATCGAACCCTTCTGCAGAGGATCAAAATTGCGAGGGTATGTCTTTGGCTCATTTCCAGTGATGTTTTCCAAACTGTTGCCAATAGCCCGTTGTGCAGCTCTAGTGTGACGGAAATAAAAAAATGAATTAAAAATTCTCCTATTGGGAATAGCAGCCTAATTGAGCTTACCCAAGAGGAAAGAAAAATAGGGTTGTTCGCACATTTACAATAAGAATTATTTATTATTACTACATATTTTTTTTTTTTTTAAATTTAAGAGATAAAATATATGAGGCGAAGTTTTGGAGACATTGCTGTTGCTTTCCTTCTTTGTTTATTTACACTACATATTTTTTATATCAGTAGCTTACTTTGGGTTAGTTTTGCTCATGACATACATATGTGCAAACAAAATAGATGTTGTGGGAGATTAATGCAAAATGATTCGATAAGCAGTGCAAAGATTCTTAACACTTAATTAGTTCTTTAATTTGTAATTGTACAGTTTACAATTTGATTTATACTATTTACCATTTAATTTTGAAATCCATTTGTCTTTAGCTGTGTATATAAAAATTTGAATATAATAAACTAATCTTATAAATAACAAAGCTGACACTGTTTATCTAAGTACAGGGTATCTGCTACATTTTAGATTTTCAAATTCATGACTTTTCATCATTTTCCATGACTAATTCCAAGAATTTTTCATGACTTAACGAAGTTGCAATTTTCTCCAACAATAAATTAAAAAAAAGCATTATAATAACATTATTCAAAATAGATATAACCAAAACTATTATACTCTTCATCTTCATATTTATAGATTTTAAACTTAAAAAACAGAGTAAGGAAAGAGCTAAAACAATAAAATAGCTGAAAAAAATACAAAAGAAAAAAATTTTTTTGTTCTGCAGAATTATATTCTAAAGATACTTTTCTTGTTCATCAGAAAGGAAAGAAATACTCCTGATTTTTCTGTTCATTTTGGAATAAAAAAAAATCGCCAATAACTGGTTTGCTTCAACTAGAATTTTAAATTGACAAAATTCAAAAAAATAATAATAAAAAAATTCTTAAATCACAGTAGAGAGTTTAAAGGATAATTCGCTCTAAAAATGATATTTTTTCTTTCAATTTTTTAAAGAACACCATAATTTTTAAAGAACATGATAAAATCATTTTATATTTAAATAAAATATGACTGAGTGGTGATTTTGTTAGAAATTCAGATATTTGGAACAGGATGAAGTTAGGGGGAGGGAGATTCCATTTTAAAAATAAGATTTTTCAGAGACCTAAATCCATGACTTTCCATAATTTTCTTTTTAAAAATAGTAAAAATCATGACATTTCATGACAAATTTTGTTCAATACCGAAATTCATGACTTTCTAGGTGACCCTGTAAGTAAAGCAGAGAATGGGCCGGGATAGCCTGGTTGGTAGGATGTTGGGCTCACGTTAATGAGAACGGGAGGTACACCTTAAATCAGTTGTAATCACAAAGTCCTTTAAGTTCCCATAACAAATCAATACCTCTGGGGGTATCATTCTCTGGTTCAGGTCATAATTACGATCTGTAGATGAATAAATGGAGTATGATTGGGTTCTCCCTGTAAAACAGGCTGTGATGTGTGTGTGTGGCTCAATTAGTATTCTTCGCTATAAATGGTGCCACTGAAAAAAAAAAAAAACACATTCTCTGCCTTAAAAATTTTTTGATTTTAAGCAGGCTTGCTGATTGGCAAGTGGCATACGTAAAAACAACAAAGCAGAACATTATTTGTACATAAATAATATTTGGTTTTATAAAGCGAAAATCAGCACACTATTTACTAATTTAATAAAGTTAATGTTATTTATGTTTAAGAAACTGTTTCATATTTTTTAATGCATTTCTTTTGCTTCTAGAAATTTTGTGAAATTATAACTAAATTGCTCAAAATATATGCACTCTAAGTACGAAGTAACTTTAAGTTTCAATCTTATAATTGTGAACTCAAATATAAATTTAGAAAAAAACTGCAATAATTTTGAAGCAAAAAATATGTTATAAAATTTCTGAAGTTATACTAGTTTACTGTGCATTCACTGAATATTCTTATCTCAACCATTCTAGAAATTTTTCTAGAAGGAACTAGAATTCATTCTCATTTTTACAACAGCCCCAGGTAAACCTCCTTATATCTATATATAGATATTTGATTTAACAGGAACCAATTCAGAAATAATACCCCAAAATAATATTTTTTTTTTAAGAATAAATAGTTACCAGAGTTTTTTTTAAAAGAAACTTAAAACAAATATTTTATTTTCAGGTTTTACAAAATGAGAATATCAATCCGAAATTAAAAAATAATCGTTAACGTATTAAATAATTTTTATTGGATAAATTATTACAAAATACTACAATCAAATGGGAGTATTCTAAACTAAAGTTGATTAAAAATGTAGTTTTACATCAAATTACTTTCAAACACCATTTGAACGCTGCGATTATTTTGACACAGGAAACGATATGGAAATATTCCAAATGAAACAAAAATATTAGATAACTAATTACTTTTATTATTCCCTATCAATAAGTATAAATTAAAATCATCGAGCAGGAGGGGATACAATTTACATCAAAATAATAGGTAACGTTTATTTACACTTATTTTTGTGTCTATAAAAAAGTTGTAGTTATTGCGAAAACTTTCAAAGTAGTTGAAAAGTGAAGAAGTAAACTTTATGTACATTTGAAAAGTGAAGTGAAGTAAGTTTTAACTTCGCTAAAAAAGTGAAGTGAAGTAAAGTTTGTTACTCCGGACCGATTCCGATATATTTCAAAACAGTCTTCATCCCGAGTACGTTAGACGTGCGGAATTTAAAATTTACAAATTCAAGTTCTTGTTATTTTCTTTAAACGTTCCTGTAAAGAAAATGTCTGATGATAAGGAGGTAATAAAGATTAGATATACCTACAGATTGTTTTATTATTACTCCTATTAATGTTTTATAATTATGGAGTAAATATTCACTTTGGTACATTCTCTTTAAAAATCTACTATTCCTTATATGATATTGACCAGTACTGAATATTGTTTATTATTATTGTTTTTTAAGATTAAATTTTGCACGATCTATTTTGCATGATCTATTTAATTTTGCATTTAATATCCCCCATTTTTTGATTCCCGCCAAAATTTAAACTTGTTCTGAAAGGGTTCATTTAGTGTTCTACTGTTTTATTTTCGACTCAAATGAAGACAAAATATTATGATCTAAATTTATATCGTATCCGATACTTATATATAATTTTTTGGTCGGTATTTATATGGAAATAGTTCCGATTTCGAGTATGGTCGAACATAGTTTCGATTCGTACATTGTTCCGTCTTTCTGTTTTTAAATAAGGTGTTGTATTGTCGACAAAATATGCAATATTAAATGCATTTATTAATTTTGCAAGATGTTTGGATTGTCGATAAATCACCTAACGATAAATGGAATTGATTTTGCAACATTTGTCCATTTAACATTATGCATGTTCTAATTATTTTTGGCGCGCTAATTCGACATTGTCTACTGGCCTATATATTTAGTGATGAAGATGAAAAATATAGTTGTCTTAAGAAATATAATTGATAATAAATTTTATGAAAGATTTTGTTCTGAGAGAACTTTGATATTACTTGAACTCTAGCATAGTTTCCTTTAATTCGTTGTTCCATTACTTTGTTATTAATAAAGATGCTGTAATCTTGACATAAAAACTAATATAAAATGCTTTTAGAAGGGTTTCAAGTTGTTACGGTTGTTTTCAATCACCTAAGAATCAATGGAATTAATTTTGCAACATTGTTGCCTATTCAACAGTATGTATACTCCTTCATAGTATAATGTAATTATTTTTGCTTAGCATATTTGATTATGATGTATTGAGAAATATTCCATATTATAAAATTAACAAGAAAAATAGTGTCAGTATATTTTATGTAAGATTTTGTTCTGAAAGAACTTCTGTTTTCAAATAGATTTGAGTATAGTTTCATTTAGTGTCATTCACTCTTACTATAATTCTGTAAACTGTTGTAAGAATTAAAAGAATATCAATGGGGGATGCTTACATAAATCTGTAATATTTTCTGTTTATTTACACCTCAATGTGATATGTTTATTTTTTATATTGCAATCTTTCTTGCATGTCTGTCTGTGTTTTCTTTGGTGTTAGTCTTGTGCTGTTATGTGCTTTTGATAAAAGGTAAGATTTTTTTTGCATGCTTGCACAAAATTTTTGCACCTTTAGCTGGGATTTTGAAGATGGCATATTTCTTTTAGTTCTTCGTTCATTCTCTCTGTGATTATCTAAAGTGTTCTAAGAATAAAAAATAAAAAAGTCATCGAAGATTGCTTTTAATAAAGCTGCAATATATTCTTACACATCATTGTGATATATTTCTCCTTTAAATTACAATCTTTTTTGCATGTCTGTGTTTTCTTTGGTGTTGGTCTTTGTGCTTTAGTGTTGTTCTGATTGAAGGTAAGACTTGTTTGCATGCTTGCATTAAATTTTTGCACCCTTAGCTGATGCTGGTATATGTGTTTTAGTGCTGGTCTGCGTTCTATTTGTGTTTATTTCAAGAGATTTTTATCATGGCAAAAGGTAAGACATTTGGTAAGACTCTCAAAAAAGAATGTGTGGCAAATTTTTGTTATTCTTTAGGCAACATAGGACACAATTCTAGAGTTTAGGAACGTGGCATCACAAGGACATTGAAGAACATTTTATTAACCTTTATTTCTTCTAGATTGATTTCAAGAGTTTGAACGTTTTGTTAATAATCAATTTCATATTCATTTGTTTGGTGTTTCATATTCAAATGTTTATTATTTTTTGTTTTTTATGTTCATCAGTTTCATTTGTATTCATTCATTCACGTCTTTTGATGATACATTTTCATATTGTGTATTCATCTTGTTTAATCATTCAATTTCATTTTCATATTGTGTATTCATCTTGTTTAATCATTCAATTTCATTTCCATATTTGCATATATCATTCATTGATACAATCATTTCCATTCATTCATAACAATGTCTATCCATTGTTTATAGAATTTCATATTCATTCATACAGTTTTATTTGTTCACTCGTTTAAAAGAATATTATTACAAAACTATTTTGTAAACAGGACAATGTACCCCTTAATTCTCGCCTAAGGTTAATTTTGTAACTATATAAGTCCTGTAGGCTTTTAAATTATAGCTATGAACATGGAAAATATTATTATGGTCTGAAAACTTCTGTCATGTCATGATTATATGTTAGTACATCATAAATTAGAATACCCTGTTTATATAATGCTCCAGAAAAATTATAACCTCACTAAAATATTTTTCATTTTATTTCAGTTATTGTTGAATTACTTGATTATTATTTAGCACTGAAATAATAGAAAATTTTTATTACAGAATATTTGGTAATTACATTGATATACTAAACCATAAAAAATTAGAATTTATGTTCATAAGATTTTATGAATCTCAGTGTTTTCATCATAGAAAAAAAATGGGTGAGAATTTCTCACCCTTTCTCAAAAACAGGGTGAGATTTCTAAAAACTGAAAAAATACAAATAGACTTGAAAAAAAAAATTTCTTTCATTATAATAAATTTTTAACGCCTTCTATTTTTTAAAGCATTGAATATTCTTGCTGCATCATCATAGAAGATTTTGCCTTTACTAGGTATTTGTCCATCTTACATTAGTGCATAAAAAATTTGAACGTCTTACATGAAAAAACCTTACCTGCGGTAAACACGTGGTTGCAGAGAAATGTGTTCAGAAAGGGGTTCCGTGGCTCGAAGGGGTTGTGTTCTGTTGTTCGAAAAAGTTCTGAACAATACTGGTAAATAGGGAATCTAGATAACGGGGCAAATGTTGAAAATAATGAAAGATCCAGGAAGAAAAGTGAAATGGATTTTATTCTAATTGGCGTAATTCGAAGCTTTCTCCAAAATGCGAGAAAATCACGAGTTTTGAAATTGATTTATAGAATGCGCGAATTTCTCGCGATAATCATCTTTTAATGCGAGAAAAGAAAAAAATATGCGAGACTCTCGCTTTCTCGCGCTGTAGTGAAAACACTGGAATCTGTTATATTTTAGAAATAGTACATTTGGGTTCAAGTATTAATAATGACCCTCACTGAGTGAAAGAAAATCGCTAATTGAACACTTTTTGAATAAAACAATTCTGTATATTTTAAATTATTGGATTTAGCCATGAATTTGTGAGAGCATTTAAACTAAGTGTTCAGGGAGATTAAGGACAGAATAAAACAAAGCACAGTAGTGTAATTTTTTTTTTTAGTGGGAAAAGGTAAGGAAATATGAACACTATTATACTTAAATGGTGACTGATTTTAGTTATGTCTACTTTTCATTTGGATAATCCTTGCATCACAGTTTTAAAAGGCAGAACATCAGGGTCTTAATGCTGTGTTTATTACTTTTCACAGTTTCAGTTTTTTTGCTTTTTTTTTCTTAATAAATATAGTGCAGCAAAAAATACTCTAAATACAGCAATATTTTTTTTAAGAATTCTACAAGTTTAAATATTGTAAAACCTTCTAAATAACATTCAAGTACAGATATGTTTTCTAAATAAATATTTCTCTAACTATTAGAATTTGCTCAAGATTAACTTTTAAGTATAAATTAGTTTTCTAAATAAATATTTCTCTAATTAGAATTGCCTAAGATTAATTCTCTAATGAGAAAAGTGATGCTAATTTAGCTCTTGAATCAAATTTCAATATTTTCATTTCATTAATTTAAAATTTTAAGAAACAAGAAATGAAAATAAAACTTATCACTTATTTATATTTCATTTACAAACATTCCCTGAGAATAAAAAATGGCAGGTTGCTTCCTCCCAGAAAAAGGCACTCACCGTGGCAGAGTCATGGCGACATTGTCGCAGAACGTTAGAGTTCTTTCAGAAAGATTTTTCTTTTGAAAAGTAAACAATTTTACTTTTCTTTTCTGCAGAAATTTACATGTAATATTTGAACATTTATATAATTGATTTTGATGCTCTCAATTTACACCTATAGTATCGTGAACCAATGTAATGTTTCGGTTGTATTTTCGGCAGTTACTGATATTCATTTTCACGTTGTTTTTAAATATCCCTATATATTTCAAACAATATGGAAATTTTGAATGGTGCATTTGAGTATTTACATTTTAAAGCAATAATTCTACTGATTTTTTGGCAGTTATTGCTATGGATTTCTCTACAAAATATATCAACAAGTGATATGGTAAAAGATTACTCAGGATGTTGGTTTTCTAAGAATTAGTCTTTATTGACACTTTGAATACTGGGACTTTTTTATATTCTTATTGTAATAAATAATATGAACTAAAGCTGAAAGGACATTGATGGTGGGAAATGAATATTCACAGGTAGTGTTCTATCCTAGTTCTACTGTAAATTTTTTTTTACTTTGAGGCTATCATTCAATAACAAGTATTTTTGAAATTTTCTGCACTTATTGTTTTTGTCTCAAAATATATTAATTGGAAGAAAATTATTATATCTAGTTCATGACAGTAATTCCAAGTTCTAACTCGAAAGTACTAATGGAAACAATCCTATTTAAAATTAAAATAATTTAGATGAGGTTATAATTTCCTGGAGCACTTGTTTTATATGTGTACATATGTTGTCTTTTGCAGTGTCATTATACAAATTGATGTTCAATAATCAATCATTTATTTTTATAATTCTGCAATATAGGGGCCCCCGGAAAAGCTCAGTCAGTTTCATGTAAGCATTTAAACAAGCTAAAACTATTGCATCTTTATGTGCATTAAACATTAATAAATAAACTATAAACATAAATTTGTGTATTTATTGCCTTTGAATTTGGCAATTCGGTAAACAATTAGTATAAACTTGGCTTGCTCTCTATCTTTTTTTTATATAAACTTATCTAGTAGGGCTATTAGAGATTCTCTAAAAAATAATGCTGATGCTTGCTCTCATTTCACTTCAATAATTTAAATCTAAGAGGCAAGTGGTATTATACTTAGGTCACTGTACCATGCTTCCCAACCGCTCAACCTAACTTTCTGGCTCTGAAACTGCCGACAGCAAGCAGAGAAATTGCAATCCGATCAGACACAGTAAAGTTGGTGAAACCCTGTCTTAACTATAGAAAGCAAAAGCTCTACCTAGTATGCTGGATGAGTGTTGCTTTATAAATGGGCAATTTTTTGGGGCCCCTGCAGTAGTTCTAAATATTGCACTGGGCACCCGATTATCCGGTCTATTGTGCCTAAAGATAACTCTATAACAAAAATGCAGTATAGGATAGAATTGTACTTCCTACAGTTTTGCTTTTTAAATAAAAGTGTATGTTAAGCATATTAAGATATATGTTTAATCCAAAGTTTGTTAATAGCCTATATAAATGTGAAAAGTTATGACTTAAAAAAGTCTAAGTGTATGGTTTTTACTCAAGGTCCTTGAAAGATGATTGCTTTTGCCTATCAGTCGGTTCCAAATGGAGTCAGGTGGAGGGCCCGATGATCGGGTGCCTACTGTATTGTTTTTTCATCTTGGTTTGTTTTCCAGGTTTTTAGTTTCACAGTTGGGTCATTCCAGTGTTTACTACTGTTAAAAAAAAAAAAATTGCTAGAGATCACTACAAAGGGATATCCGGTTAATATAATTTAGTTATTCAGGTCTGTTATGTTTATCACATCGCTAAAAAGATTAAGTTAGAAATTTGATGTTCTTGGCTGAGTAAAATTAAAAAAATAAATAGATAAACTGCACACATAATCCAAAATTAACTACCAATTTATAACATTCCGATAACAGACTAGTTTTATTTCAAGAACAGCAAAAACATTTTAGAATATCTCTAATGTGCAATTAAAATAACCATCAGTGTTGTTGGTGGGGGAATGATGATGGATAATGTCCCCTCTAAAAAATACAAATCTTTTAAAATCCCTCTCAATATTTAAGAGAAATAAAGGTAATTTTTATTAATCATTATCGTTTTGAATTCAAAGATACAAAGCAGAAGAAAAAATAATTTATTTTCTTGCAAATTTAAGAAATTTTCTTAATTAATTATTTTATTTTCTTAATTAATTAATTATATTAATAAATGACTACTGTGAATGTGTATTTTAGTTTGTCTCCCTCAAAATATTCCACTTCTGTGATCCCTATGTAAGCAATATTATATATATTAGGAAATTAAGTAAAAGTTAGGGGTGGACTTTTGTTTCTATATTGCACAAAAGGTCAATCCACACTCTTTCCTTCTTTGTCTAAGTTTAAATGCCTTTTTTGTATACCACACTATTGGGAGTATTAAGGAACCTAGCATGTAAGACATGTCATATTTTTGTCATTTCTTTTCAATTTTCATTCAGTCTTTTATTGTTTCTGTGCTTCGGATCGTTAATGACTGTTAAAAAGCAAAAAGGTTCTAATGCCAAATCAGTTCATTTTAAAATAGTATCTTTATGTTGCTGGTGTTGATTTAAGATAATTTGCTATGAATCAGCAGTTTTTGTCTCATTGCTTAGGAGATGGTTCAGTATTTTGGCTTTAGCTGTTCTAAGCTTTTGCTTAAATTCATAATATTATAATCATTGAAATCTGATATCAATATCACTTTTGTGTTTCAAACAAGTGATATACAGGTCTATTTTTAATTTCTGTGAATCAGATCGTTTATGACTGTTAAAAAGCAAAATAGTTCTAATGCTAAGTCAGTTCATTTTGAAATAGTATCTTTATGTTGCTGGTGTTGATTTAAGACAATTTGCTATGAATCAGCTGTTTTTGTCTCATTGCTTAGGAGATGGTTCAGTATTTTGGCTGTAGCTGTTCTAAGCTTTTGTTTAAATTCATAATATTATAATCATTGAAATCTGATATCAATATCACTTTTGTGTTTCAAACAAGTGATATACAGGTCTATTTTTAATGAATGTGGAAAGGCAATTCCACCTTGTTTTATTTTAATAACTACTGTGTGTGCGGGATCGTTTATGACTGTTAAAAAGCAAAAAGGCTTAAATGCTAAATCGATGAATTTTAAAATGACCTATTCATGTTGCTGCATTTAATTTAGGATAATTTGCTAATTTTAGCCATTCATGGTTAGATTTGTTAAAATTCATTACATTATAATCATTGAATTCTGATATCAATAACTCTTTTGTGTTTCTCACAAGTGCTTTCTATTTTTAATAAATGTGAAAATACATTCTGTTTAGCAATTAGTCTTATTTTAGTTACTACATTTTAATCGGGTAGCTTGTTTTATTTTACTGTATCTGGAAGTTCTTTAAGCCATCTTGATGATTGGTGGTAGTTATAAATTTTGATTTTCACTCCAAGTTTAATAATTTGATACTTGACTTACATAGTTGGTAAATTACTAGGTGCTAGTAAGTTCATTCAATGTGGCATAAATCCATAATAGATAAATTGCTTCTTCTACCAACAGCAGACATGACTTATTTGTCTAATTTCCTAAGTGTTCCATAGTCAGAAACATGCACATCTATAGTTAGAATTTGTTCCATTCATATAATGAAGTTTTTTTTCGTAGTTGTGGTTTTCGGCACAGTGTTGCAAAAAGATGTTGCTCTGCTCCTATTGAAGAGTTGTATTTTTCTTTAGTTAGCACAAATGCTATGAATAAGCAGTTTTTTTATTATGTTGATATTTTCCCTTTCACATGCTTTGCTGAGAAGTACTGCATTGGTGCAGCGTTTTAAAAATCACTTAAAGAAAGTGTAAATTAAAGTGGGTTGTTTATTTACTGGTTGATTATTATATACCCTTGGTATTTTGAAGTTAATCATGCTAGAAACATTGTTCCTTAAGTTTTGAATTGAAGGAAAATAGTCACGTAGCTAAACAACCGAGAAAGTTAGAGTTGTCAAGAACTTCGAGAGAGAAAATTTTTAGCTGTTATCAGAAGTCTACCTTCTTTTACTATCAATGGTTACACTAATAATATAGATTCTGTGCTATATCCTATTGTTACTGACTGAGTTGCTGAATTGCCTATAACTCAATAGCAGGGTTGGCAAAACAAACAAAAAAAATTTTTTAAGCATAGGTATTTTCAAATATTTTCAAGAAAAACCTAGAAACTTTGGAACCTTGAAAACCTTTTTAAGTTTAAATAGATTGTTTTTTAAACAATGTAACTTAACAATTTGTTTACAAATATAATCGGAGCCAACCCTGCTCAATCGTGTCTTTTTACTTAATTTGAGTTTAGTGTCTTTTTACTTAATTTGAGTTTAAGGAGGATTCTATTAATTAGCAATAGAGCAGTTATATTAGGAAAAAAAAACTGTTAGTCGTTTTAAATCCAGGACTCAATCCAGAATCACAGTCAAACGATATTTTTAGTGGATGCTACAAACATGATGGATTCTCTGTGTATTTATGCCTCTTTTGCTCTTAAACTTTTGAATGTTGTTCATACTGTTTTTACTGTTGTTATCATGTCTATATTCTTTGTTTTTATTGTATTTATGGATTAATTAAGCCATTGAGTAAAAAAAATTTTATTTTGTTTACTATTCATAATTAATTTGTAGTCTTAAAATGTACTTTTGAGATTTTTTTTTCGTAAACTCTTTTGGATTTTTTTACTTTAAGGTTGGCAAATGTGTTTTTTAAAAAAATTGTTTAATGAAAGGGGAAAAAATGGACCTTAAAATTTCTATCAAAAAATACTCTCTTTACTATGTTTAAATAAATTGTTATATCTTCAAATTTGTTAATTCACTAAACAAAGGTATATTTTTTGGTCAAAAAGAAAAATAATTAAGCATGTAGTATTGTAGTATTTCTATGGAATGACCCAATATTACTTTAGGATTGCATTTTCTATTAGGAAACTGTATTAACATTTCATGTGAACAATTGAGATTTATTAAATGTTTATTTTCTTTTTTTCCAGTGCCATGGTGCAAATAATAAGCCCTATAAAAGATATTTAGGTTCAGAGAAAAATTTAATAGATACAGTAGACATTTTTTCTTTTAATGCTCTAGAGAAAGCTCGCTTAGGTGAATTATTTGATACTATTCTTCATGGCGTGAGAGTCGAAGATGCCTACGTATATAACTTTCCTTCTTATTTCATATATAAGATTTTTGTTAGCATAATCTTTTCATTAGGGCTAGATGATTTCATGTCTGTTATATTTCAATCATATCATGTATATTTTAATCATCTGTTATGCTATTTTTATCATCTATTTTCATATCTACTATATGTTATTTGTATATTATTTTTCATATAGTTTATTATCTCATATCATCTATATTTTTGTATCGATTCATGTATTTTACCTTAAGGTGAGTCTACTCCTTTTTTTGAGAGTAAATTTTTTTAATTTTTTTTTCATTTAAGATCTTTTTTAAAAATGCAAAATTAAGTTCTGTGATAGATTTGGTCGCTAGAGTGATTCTTATTGATCAAGATTTAAATTTTTACAAAACTTGAAATGCATTTTGGAAAAAATTGCTTTTTGCATAAAAAGTTAATCTTTTTTAAAGATCTACTCTACCCGTATAAAAAAAAAATCTGCCTTTATCATACAAAATTTAAGTGGAATATTTTTTTCCTGGGCTAAATTAGGGGTGTACAACCTTTTTGAGTGAAGGGCCACTTGCACAGCAGGTTGAGTAACGGAGTGCCACACATTTATTTAGACATGTTGATGGCAAATGTAGTAATATTTATTTAAACATTAGTGTTCTTTTATGGTTGTAGAAAATTAATGACGCTCAATCGAAAATACAAAAAAGAAAAACGTACTTTAAAAAAAAAAAAAAATTGCTGTTTTTATAAAAATAATTTATCAAAAACAGTGAGTTTTAAAATTCACGTTTTCCACCACTTTGTGAATTTCTCAAGTTGCATTAACATTGCATTTAAATTAGGGATGTAACAAGTATTTGCTCCTTTTGTCAAAAATTCTGTTTGTCGAATAGTTGGTCACACATTCGGCAAAGTATTTTTCTAATTTTTTTAAAAATTTTTTATAGATATGATAAAGAATAGTATAAAATCATATTTTTAACTATATTATAGTAATGTTTGCTATAAGAAATAGTTTTTACCCAAATTTGTTAAATTTTAAGATCCATGTTTCTGCACATGGCTTGTTGCAAATTTATCTTCAGAATGGAGAAACGAAGACAAATGCAAAAACGAAATTTAAAGAATTGAAATTCGATTACTGTATACAGAACCAAAAGTTTTTGCGCTACTTTTTTTAAAAAAAAAAATTATGTTCAGACATGTCAATTTCGTAATTTTTTCCTTGCTTTTAGTTCTAAAAATTGAGATGGTTTTCTTTTTCCCTTCCATTTTTGCTGTTTTTATTATAACGCAGCATTTTAGCGGCATTGCTGCAGCATTTTAGCGGCATTTGCTGTTTTTATTATACGCAGCATTTTTAAACTATTAATTTATTGTCACTTTTTCGTTGTACTGTAATATAGATCACCAGTAACATAGAAAAATGTGATTTTCAGTGTTAAAGTTTTGTTTTAGGAACTAAAATTTTTTTTTAATTATCTTTTCTTTTTATAAGCATTTTTGTTATGACACAGTATTTTTTTTTTTAAATAAACATTATTAACAAACTTAATATATTATTTTATATAAATTTTTTTTCTTCTAAAAATATGGCAATATGAAAAATTTAAATTTAGATTTTCAGCATAATATTTCATTTAAAAAATTCAAAACATTTTTTGTCTTTGTTTCTATCTAGTTTTTTTTTCTTTTCGAAAATAAACGAATTTCTTTTTTATCAATCAAGTTTCTAGTTAAATAACAGGACCGTCAAAATACAGTGAAAGAGTATATTGCATACAAAAATCACTTAAATTTATGTTGAATTAAGCAGGAGTAAAGAGTGCCAAATGCGCAATTTAAAATTCACATATCGTAATAAAATTATTGAAATTTTTCATACTATGCGGGGAATACATAGCAATGACTGCCAAAAAATGGTTGTAAAAGAAGTAAATGCACAAAAAATCACTTAGATTTATGAGGAAATCATCATAAAAAGTGGTTATTTAAATGGGCGATCTGAAACTCTCGTGCCTTAATAATATTGCAATAAAAATTCGGGATTTTCGAAGTCACATTGAAAAGCGGACATAACTGCTTAAAAAATTATTTAGAGTTACGATAAAATTGGCTTAAAGAAAGCACGCTAAACATACATTTACTATAGACTCTGTAAAAGTTGAGCGTGTCAAAACGTGATGACTTAAAAGTGTGGTTAAAAATTTCTGACTCTTTTTAATTATTTTTTATTGTGTTTAAAAGCTCACACGGGCTGCACTTCAGTAGTCAGTGGGCCGGAGGTTGTGCATCCCTAGGCTAAATGAAAGCAGTAGACTCTCCTTGAGGCTGATATAAACATTGTCCTCTTCAATCTGCATTTCAATGTTAGCTTGTGAGAGAAGTTATTCGAATCATTGACTAGATTTAATTAAAACTAAATACAGTATAACCTCGAAAATCTGTACTTTTAAAATTCGAAGCCTCTGAAATTCAAACAATTTTTTTTAATTCTTGAGGTGAAATTTTTTTTTTTATAAATTCAATTTTAAATTAGAAGCAAGGTATAGAAATTTGCATGTTATATTAGTATCCTATTTAAAAAATTGGTTTTAAAGACCATATGGAAATCTGGAATTAAATGAATGAAGGAAAAACTGCATGATTTTACAATGGAATCCTTTTGAATCCATGTCAAAAAGTTATGACCCAAATTCTTAATTCGTGTGTCATAATAGCAGCATATTAAAATTAGAATTTGGGAAACTATGTGGAAATGGCAACAAAATAAATATTTAAAAAAACGATCATACCATATAAATTTTCAAGAAAATTGGTGAAGATCAATATTTTTTAATAATTGATTTATTTATTATTATATTGGACAAGTTATCTGGATTGAAAGGCCTGTGGACAGATATGTATAATATCCGCAAATGAAATGTTGTTTCGTTAAAGTAATCATCGCAGGACCTATTTTGCTATTACCCATTATATTTAAAAATTACTGTCTTGTGGTCTAGCTATAACCTTTTATTTCATGATTCATTTAACTCTTTACTTGTTATTAATTACAGTATACTAAAAATTCACAGAAATGTACAAGTCACTTTTTTTTTCTTAAAAGGTCACACGAAGTTTATAATTTGATTCTAGTATTTTTTCAGTATTACTATTTTACTACTAAAACTATTTTTTAATATTATATATTAGAAAATGAGTATCGTAAGAAAGTAAGATTATTTAAGAGTAGAATTGACAAGTGATTATTAAGATAGATTTTATTAAATCTTGACATTGAAATGTTTCTGAGTGACTTACTTAGATTTTAGATACACAAAGAAATCCAAGTATATGGTAAATTAAAGTAAGTCATTTACTAGTTTTATCTTATCAAATAACTGTTGAATTTAGAGATGAGTGCTAATTTGTATAATATCAATATAGAGTTCTTTAAAAATTAAAACACTTAAAAAAAAACAGTGATTTTTTTAATAAATTCCAACAAAATAGAATGTTGACGATATGGCTGAAAGAAGCCACAAGAATCCATAAATTGCTTGCAGTAAGTTTTTCTTTTTTATGTCTACATGTGAGGCTTAAATTTTTTTTATCAGAAAGGCATGAGTGTCGTTCTCTGCAAACCCTACCTAAATTGAAGTCTGAATAAAATAAATTGGTACAGAAGCTCTTAAGAAATATGTGAAAGCTAAGAGATTATAAATATTTCAAATAAAACAGTAAGTGGGAAAAATCATTAATTTTTCAAACTAAATGGGCAGAGGGAAGGAGAACTTAATTTGAATGAAGTATCAGCTTGATGTTCCAATTTCGGAAATTTCAGGACTCAAAGTTATCCTTAAATTCCTTAATTTCATTTTTTTTTTCAAAGGAAGTCTCCTTAAATGTCCTGAAATTTTTGTATTTTTTGATTTTCAGAGCATGAAGTGCACTCATGGAAAAGTTAAAAATATCTTTGACTATGCGAATTTACTATATAATCTTCACTAATTGAGCATATCATAAAAAATTATCCAATGATGTATTACGAAATTTGTATGCCATATTATTGTATTGCAATATCAAGATTTGAAAAACTATGCTGAAATTTGTAAAAAAAACTATAAAAAGAAAAGCAAAAATAACCATGTGTGGTTTAGAATAGAATAACTTAATTTGTAAAATTTTGGGCCCGTGATTTATTTGTTTTGATTGGTTTATTTGATTGATTTGAGTAAAATATTTAGTCCAGATCTTCCAAACCCCTGTGCAGCCCAGGTTTTCGAGGTTATACTGTAACATATTGTAACAAATATTTATCTTTGGAAATATATAAGAAAAATTTAAAAAATTTTTTTTTTCTGAGGTATAAACAATATCTTTTTTCCTCTGGGGTGTAATTTTTTTTAAAAATATTTTATTTCAAAATCGTCCTTCAATTCCCTCTTTTAAAGATAGATAGAAATCATCAATAAGAGAACATTAATATAACTTCTAGGGTTGCTGCCATATTTATTTAGAAGGGTGTGCCAAAAATATTGTAAAAAAAAATTTTTTTTATGGTTTTTTGAATATTGTTTTCAGGTTCATGCTAAATAAGTTAGTCATAAGTCATTGTTTAATTTTTTCCTTATAATTTCTTTCAAATCAGAAGTTGTTACACCAATTGCATTTTTCATAACGCTTTTTATTTCATTTTTTTAAAAATCCTAATTCAATAATTTTTAATTTCTAATTAAGGAGCACATGTCCTTTCGAGGGGAGGGGGCTTTACAAAGAGTTTACAAAGTTAAGATACAAATGATTTTATTTTGAAAAATTGAGATTGTATTATGACCTGGATAATATTCTTTACCCATGGTACAATACTTTTGCTTGCATAAAAAACCTATTTCATACAGGACAAGTTAACATATCCATCTGAGGGGTGAGGAGACTTTTTTTCTCTGAGCGTTTTCCTTGCATATAATGTGAAAGTTTTAACAATATTTTAATTTGATTGATTTTATTAAAATAAAGTCACTTGCAAAAGAATTTTTTTTTAAAAATCACTCATTAGTTAATTATTAAAAATTTTATCACTATACACTGAAGCAAATTTTAAAATTGGAAGTAGTGTGCATGTCATGTTTTTTGGAATCAAACTTAAGAGATAATGCAATAGTAGCTTATAAAAGTCAATGTGAAATAAAATTATGTAAATGTGGAACTCACTCATTATTCAGATAAATCTGAATTTTGTTTAATTCAGGACTTGTAATTCGTATCAATCACCTAAACATTAGTCATGGCTTTTCCTAAACTTTCCTGCATTAAAAAAAACAAACAAAAAAGCACAGTTTTTTCATATTATTTAATGGTAAAGTTGTGGGTAGCAGGGAAATTTTTTTTGCCCAGGGTCTCAATACTCAGAGGGTTGTTGTTTTTGTAAATCAAGGAAACATGCTTTGTTCCATAACATAAAATGGCCTTTTTATCACAATTTTTATATGGTTTCACTTTAAAAGAAAAAGAAATTATAAAAAACTTGTCTCCATTATGCTAAAATTATGATGCTTCTTTTTTATGACATTGCAACAATGCCAGGGGGTACTGTACCAGTTTAAGGTAAAAGATCCACAGTTTTCCAATTTTTTCTTAAAAACATTTTTTCAGTTTCTGCTTTGTTTTTTTTTTTCCTTGAGGTGTCAAAAAAAAAGAAAAAAAAAGCTACAATGCCAGAAATTTTCAATCAATCACTCCTTCAAAATGCTTGAAAAAAAATATGTCGCCTAATAGTGGGTTTAGATTTGTCAGGTACTGGTAATTTAGATTTTTCAGAAACCTTATTAATGGGGATCAATCACTAATCTTTCGAAAATAATTTGAGTATTTTTCATTCACATTTTTTTTCACACACAATTTTTTTTTTCCTGTCTGCAATCTCATGCCTTGGCTGTATGTTTTTATTAATTGATTTATTTTATGTTTTATTCTTTGCTTGTTTAGGCTCTCAATTTTCTGTCCCCTCCCTAAACCCTGGGTACTGGATAATTAGGATTTTACTATATTTATTTTACTTTTCTCTATTTTTTTAATCTCATGCCTTAGCTATCTATTTTATTTAATTTATGCTTTGTTTAATGTTTTTATTACTTGCTTTTTAAGTTATGCCTCAATTTTCTGATACCCAGGTGTCGGAATTTTGGGGTGTATTCTAACCCCTTGGTGTTGGAGTTTCGGGGTGCATTCTAACCCCTTGGTGTCAGAATATTGCTCTCTTTTTTTATAATCTCATGCCTTAACTATCTATTTTATTTAATTCATGCTTTGTTTATGTTTTTATGCTTTGCTTTTAAGTTATGCCTCAATTTTTCGATACCCAGGTGTCGGAAATTTGGGGTGCATTCTAACCCCTTGGTGTGGGAATTTCTGGGTGCATTCTAACCCCTTGGTGTCGGAATATTGCGGCTTTACTATATTTTATTTTCTAAAACTCTTGTTTTCTTTCTTTTCTAGACTTATCCTGATATTGATTTCAAAAAATATCCTCACCTTAAATTAGGATATAATAAAACTGATTTTTCCTTACTCCATAATAATGATAATAATGCTGAAATAAAACCTGTTCTGAATTTTGATGATTTAGAACCTCATAATGAAGTTACTGAAATGTTGCAACTGTGGGATTCCGCATTTTATTTCACTGATGTTGACATTGACGTATTTAATTTTATTATTTATATTTATTGTTTCAAACTAATTATGAAACTTCTGCTAACACATTCTTTTTGAGTTCTTCATAATTATTTAATGTGCAAATTCTTCTGTGTGTTCTTTAAATAACAAAACTAACATGATTTTTCCATTTTATAGAGTTTAAGCATTTATATTGTATGAGGATGATTCAGATATAAACAGTGATGCCTTTTATTGTTCATTTAAAGGCACACTCTTCAACATTGTTTTTGTTCTTTAATCGTTCTCCTCCAAGAAAAGCTCTCATAATAATGGACAAAAAACAATCACCAAAAGACAAAGCTGGACTGGGGGAAGAATGATCAAGGGTTTTCTATTGAATTTACTCCAATTTGCTGACTAGTGGTGTATTGGAAAAAGATGCCATTTCTAAGGAAAAGTTGTCCAAAGCTTTTTCTAAGGCTAAGATGTTCAGTAGTTATAGCATGAGCACTTGGAATGTTGTTACTAACTTTGAATGTTGTTACTAACTTTTAACTTCTGTCTACAGTGAACTAGCATGTAGCATAGATCTTTTCATTTTTTTTTTTCAATCAGCAGAGATTTTTTAATCTTGAGATATGATCTTAGATGTTGGTTAAGACACTTATTGTTTGCCATATAAACAATTGCCCCAAGTAAGCAATTTTTCTGTAAATATGTATTTCCCCAAACTGTGCCTTCAAATGAGTTGAAAAAGGTGAGTTTAACCCTTTCTTTGCTTAGAAAATTTACAATACCTTGTGCAACAGACAAAGAACTTTGGTTATTCATGGCTGCATTAAGGACAGATTAGAAACAGCTGATGTCGCTGGTAATGCATATTATCACCCCTCCCCCACTTTACCTTTCAGCTCAGAACCGATTTCTTAATACCATAGCAAAAGTATTGTTTATATTTGAATCACCCATGTACATAACTTTTGACTGTGTTTTAATAATGCTACATCTGGACTCTACTGTTTTCTACGAAGAATCCTCACTTTCAGCTCACAAGACAATAAATTGTAACGTAGTTAACATTGTTTTATGTGAAATTGCTTTGCTTTGTGAATTGTACCATTGCTTTTTTTTATTTATTGAAGTTTCTGAAATCAAAAATAATAATTAATTAAAAGTGCGTTTACAGAAAAGTATCTTTTAATATATCTTTTCGTAATTATATCTTTTCGATAATTTTAAATATAAAAACAAATACAACAAATATATACTCTTTTGTGAACGTGTCTTTCTCTTTTGTAAACATGTGCTGAGCATAAAGAGGTTAAAATTTAAAAGTGCGCTTATTTGTCGTACCTTTATGAATCTTAAAGAAAACACATCTTACACTAAGTATGTGTCTTCCATTTGCAATATATATTAATCTTTGTTTAATATTTTAGGTAAAAGCAGTGGCTGAAATTTCTGATAGCTTTACAGAATTGGAAGGTTTACCATGGCCACCCAAGAATCTGACAGTAACTATACCACCAGACAGAATGGATTATAAAAAGGAGGAAAAGGAAGGAAGCAGTAATGAAACAGAAAGGAAAGAAGAAAATCAAAAACATGTAAGTGATAAGGAAGAAAATGAAAAAGACAGTGAAAAAAAAGAAAGTGATGATGAAAAAGAAAGTGACGAAAAAGAAAGTGAAGATGAAAAAGAAAGTAAGCATTGTGATTTATATTCTTGTTATTTAGAAGTTTCCTCTTGGGACTCGTGAATATCATGTTGTGATTCTTATTCACACGATTTATTAATTACATGCCGTGATTTATCTTCACAAAATTTATAAATTGCACATTGTGATTCATTATAATACAACCTATAAATTACATATTGTTATTGATGTTTGCCTGATTTATAAATTACACATCATTATTCGTATTTGCACCTTTTAAAATTCAACATTATGATTAATATTTACACAATTTAAAAATCCTTCATCACGATTTGTTTTCAAGTGATTTTAAAATGAAGGATTGTGATTCATTTTCACACAATTTTAAAATCAAACAGACTTATTTTAAAAAAGTGTGTGATTCTTATTCATTTGAATTATAAATTGCACATTGTGATTTGTATTCTCGCTATTTCAAATTCAAGAATCACGACTCGTATTCACACAAATGAGAAATCAAACCTCGAGGTTCCCGTTCACTTTATTTAAAAATCAAGCATCATTATTCATATTTCAAATGAAACATTTTAAGTTTATTATAAAAGTTAATTTCAAAATATTTACAATAATAATTCTCTGGATAAAAATTTAAAAAAAAGTCAGTTGTGTATCTAGCATACTCATAATTCAAAAGATATTTATGAAATTTAAATTTGATGTACACACATATAATAATCAATAAATAGCAATAAAAAAATTAATTTTCCTGAATTTATTTTTATTTTTTTTGTGTTATTTTTTTATTATTTAAAAGTAATCCAAATCTCTGTCAAGATCTGAAATTTATTAATATTATTGTAAAAAATAAGTATTTTTATTTTTTAAAATAAGTCTTATAATTTTGATGATTTTTATTCATTTATAATTTATCTAAGTTTTAGAATTTCATGAAACAAAATTAGAAATAAGTATATCAATTCCTTATTTCCAAAAATTAAAATTGGACTTAATAATTTTTTGACAGCAGAAATTGACCACTATCAATTAATATATGTGCCTCTCTACACACTTTTTTCCCTGAAAACTTCAGGTATTTTTTCATGAATATACTGAACCATGAGTTTTGCAATATTTCTTTTTTTAATTATGTTCAGGTATTGTCAATTGCATCATTTTTTCAACTGTTTATGTTTTAAAAATCAGGAACTTCTTTTCTTTAATTTTTCTTGTTTTTCTGTTTTAACTAAAGCGAAGCATATTAACAAGGATTTCTAATAGACTTGATTCTTTATTGTCACTTTTTTCTTGTACAGTAAGACATATGACTAATGACATAGAAAACTGTGGTTCTCAACATTGAAGTTGAACAGTATACTCTCTATCTCAAAATTAAAAGGACGCTAAAAAATTTTCGAGATAGCAAGTTCAGAACTAAATATGTTCTAAGGAGCAGAAAAATATATTCTAAAATAGTTCACTAAAAATTAGAGTCATGAAACATAATAACTATTAATAATTATGTATGTAATGATAGTTGACTATAAATCAAAATAAAAAAATGATAATTTTATTTTTAAAAGGAAGACAAAAATAACTATGCATTAAATAAAAAAAGAATTTGCTTACAATAAACTTAAATTGTGATTTTTTCAAAGAAAATTAATTTTCCATTTTGAAAAAATTCGTCAAAGCAAGGCTTTGAGAAAAAATTCTTCGACATAGTAATTCAACATTAGATGGTTATAATAACGCCAAGGAGAATTTTTTTTTTTGACTTAACAACATATCGAGAGTATACTATATTTCAGAAAAAGCAGAAAGATTTTTGCTGTCTTGAGTTGACTAGGTATCTACCTGGGATAGCATTTAATTTAACATGACATAATAGTAATAAATAAACTGAATATTAATAGTGTTTGAAAAAAATGCCAATGAACAAGCTTTGTTTTGATTAAAATTATAAATATTTTTATACTCTATTCTGTTTATTATTATTAATATCATTAATGAATAGGATTAATATACTTTTAGAATTTAATTTTTTACTTATTTTATTATACTAAATTTTCTTTAGTTTAAATGTAATTGTATGAAAACTGTCTATAATTTTGACTTATTTATTTTTATTGAATAACTTGTTTTAATCTTTATTATTGGTAAATATCTATTATGTAGAAAATTCCATTTCCTGGAATTGTCACAGTCCTAAAGATCGGGACTTATGTCTGTAATAAAATAAAAAAACTCTGCTTACTCAAACTACTTTGAACCCTTGTTGGTTCTAAGCACCAACATTTGAATTATTTTAAATTTAAATGATAACTTAAAAAAAGGAGCTGCAGTCAAAATACAGTGGAGCTTTGGATTGAATAAAGATCGTAACATGCCTTTTGTTTCCTGTTAATTCTAAAATTGTCTTTATCTTCAAATTCTTCTTCTGATAAGACTAGAGTCCGTTTTTAGTTCAGATCATATGAAGGGATTGAAAAATAGCTTTCTTTGTCATCTGATGATCTTGAAAAAGGGCCCCTTTCTCCATTAGAATTTGTTCTGCCTAGTTTGAAGGAGGTTTGGAGAAAAGGGTAGCAAGCTTTTCCTTTTTTCTAGAAATAGTGAAGGGAAGAATGATTTTCTATTTTTATTTGCTTTTGAAGGAATTGCTGTAGTGCTTATTAATGGAGCTATTTTCAAACATGCCTGGAAATATGTTACACCATATGTCAATTTTTAAATGTAGGTGATCCTCATATGTATTGAAAAATACTTTATATCCGCTGAAATGAGTTCTATTTTTTTACTCATTTTTTGCTGTTACTATCAACCATTTCAAGGGATGAAGTAAAATTTTTTAACATTTTCCTTTGAATTTAGTGGGATTGCTTGATAGACCAGTGGAAGTAACTGGTTGCCGTGCACGTAAACAGGTTGAGCGTCTTGAAGTTAGCTTTGCTCTTCCTACTAAAGATAAGCAAATCCCTGAAGGTCGTGGACAGAAATTGGGTGATTGTCCTAGAAGTAAGTAAAAATTATTTTGACTGTGAATAGTGCTTTAAAAAATATCTTTCATTTTATAATTATTTTAATTTTTTCAGTTGAGTTCCAGATTGCTAAACATTCTGTTGCTGACTTAAAACCCTTGCATCGTGTACTTTTCAATAGACAGGGAACTGTAAGTTTCCATATTTTAATTGTAATTAAATGAAAACCCCTTATCTTGCTTGATCTTAATGATAACCAAGTCTTAGAATAACTATCTTAAAATTCATTTTAAGTACATTGAACACAACTATCTTAAATTAGTAAATTTGAATAAGTTTTTTATTCCTATAATCTACTTGCTTTCATTCATTTGATGCTAACAAAGCAGGAAATCCTAATCGGATGAATTTATTTCAATGTTTATTTGCTTAACACTGTTCATGACATTGTTCATAACCGCACTAACTGAAAATTGCACTCTCAATATTGCTTAAAAAAACATTGAGGATACCTCATATGTACTCATTATGATGTTAGTGAAATTCTTCTGTAGAATCTTTGTCTATATGCACAGAAAAACTTCAGCTTTAGTATTTGCTACCAAACCTTAGAGCCCCTGGATAATAACAGGGTGGCTATCCACCTGGAAAACATTGAATACCTGGAATTATCAGGGACTTTTTTTTATTCTAGAAAATACCTATAAAAGTCAGGGAATTTTGAAGTAAAACTAGAATATCTTTCTTCAATTTTTCTATTATCTTGCTATCCGTTATACCAACTTGTTTTTAGATGGAAATTTATCATTTAATTTATCGCCATATGGTCGAAATATTGCCATTTTAGCAATACTTTTCTTGCATCAAAATTTGCTCCATCTTTGAACTAAATAAGAACACCACATCACATTCTTCCATGGGTGCTAAATGAATGGTTGAAACCTTTGACCTTTTTGGAGACATAGGACTATGCAGTTCATGTAAGGCAAAAAATATGGTGGGGTTGGAAGAAAGGCTTAAGATATTTGCTTCTGTTTATTGTAGGGGATTTTCTCTTTTAGTCTGGAAGCTGAATCCATTTGTTGTTCAAATTTATTCTGATCAAGGTGTGTAGCTTTTTTAAGAAGTGCTTAAAGGTGCTTATTTTCGATTTTCTTTTTTTATAAGCCCTTAGAGGTGCTTTTTTCATTGGGTGTCTTTAAAAAGTGCTTAATTTTCCCCTTTTCAAAATGAGATTTTTCCTTTACCATGTTGATTTTTGCTACAAATTATGCAAAGAGACACAGTTCGCATTGTTCGATTCAAAGTTTTCACAATTCATTCAACCCCATTCTATTTCGGCATATTATCAGTCCGTAGCGTATGAAGACGCCATTTATTTTACATGATTCAAAAGCTCCTGATTTTTGACAATTGTCAAAAACAATGCCAAAAGTTTTTTTTTTTTTTTTTTTTATGACGGTTAAAACAAGATAAAACAGTCAATTGTCAAAAACTTTCCAACCCTGCCTAATTATGATACTTTTTAAAGTGCTTAAAAATATCTTTTGAAGGCTTGAAAATTGCTTGTATTTTGTTGAATAATTTGGTTATGCACCCTGCTGATGCTTTGAGGGCATTTTTTTCTTTTGACAAAATGTTTTAGTATTTTCAATTTTATAAAGGTCTCCAGAAATTATTTGGTCATAATTTAATAACAATAGATTTTATTTCACACGCTTTTTTCTGCTTCATACTCCCATCCCAGCTTTCGTACTCCCATCCAATGAAGTCATTGACTTTTTTTTTCTCTTCCAAACCATCCAAGCACACATCATCTTCAAACATATATTCCTAATAAACATATAAAAGCATTATAATAACATTAATTAAAATGATAGGTATAACCAAAACTGCTATACTCTGCATCTTCATATTTATTGATTTTAAATTTAAAAAACAGAGTAAAGAAAGAGTTGAAGCAATAAAATAGCTGAGTAAATAATTTTTTTCTGCCGAATTATATTCTAAAGATATTTTTCTTCTTCATCAGAAAGAAAAGAAATACTCCTGATTTTTCCGTTCTTATTTCGAAATAAAAAAAATTTGCCAACGACTAGCTTGCTTCAGCAAGAATTTAAAATTGAAAAAATAAAAATGTGTAATATATGTTTATTAGGAAGAAGAAAAAACTTTTTTTTTTTTTTTTTTTAACTCTGCACTCAACAGGTGCAGGTTTCTAGTTGTAAAAAACAATTAGCTTATCTTGACTAAAAAAGCATGTGGTTAGATTGGAATTCTTTAAAGATTTTGATTTCAGATATTAAAAAAAAAAATTAAATTTAAGGAATTTTAACTAGTTTTTTTCTATTGAGTACACTATAAGAAATTCAAAAAGTCTGTTTAATTTTTGCAATTGCGACATCATTTTTTAATACAGAATATCTCTATGAATAAGAGTGCATAATGTAATTCTACATAGTGTAATTTAGTAAAGAGCACAATTTAGACAAAATATAGTGAAATAGTTCTAAGTTTTATATGACCACCTAATTTTCTTTTGCTTAGTAAAAATATATAAATCAATACTTTTTCAAGGTTTTTTCATTTACTCTGTATTTAGCATTTGATACATTTTGTTCAAAAACTACTTAAAAGTAAAACATTTTTTATTCAATCGAAACAATATATTCTATAAAGTAAACATATTTTCTACACATCTATTTTAATCTTTAAAAAATAAGTGCTGTAACAAAACTTAAAATTTTTAAAAAATGAAAAACAAAATATTGCTAATCTTATTATTTTTTCAAGATATATATCTTAAAAAATATACATTTTAAATAAAATACTATAGACAGGGTATCCCGCGCACCTGGAAAGTTATGAATTTCAGTATTGAATAAAATTTGTCATGATTTTAACTATTTTTTAAAAAAAAATCATAAAAAGTCATGGATTTAGGTAGCAGAAAAATTTTATTTTTAAAATGAAATCCCCTCTCCCCATTTCGTGTTCCAAATATCTGAATTTGTAACAAAATCCCCACTCAGTCATATTTTATTCAAATATAAAAAGTTTTTATCATGTTCTTTAAAAATTATTGTGCTCTTTCAAAAAATGAAAGAAAAAACATTTCTTGAGTGAAGTATCTTTTAAACTTCTTTGATTTCAGAATTCTTTTTATTTTTTAAATTTTAAATTCTTGCTGAAGCAAGCTAGTCGTTGGTAAATTTTTTTTATTTCGAAATGAGACCGGAAAAATCAGGAGTATTTCTTTCCTTTCTGATGAAGAAGAAAAATATCTTTAGAATATAATTCAGCAGAAAAAAATTATTTACTCAGCTATTTTATTGCTTCAACTCTTTCTTTACTCTGTTTTTTAAATTTAAAATCAATAAATATGAAGATGCAGAGTATAGCAGTTTTGGTTATACCTATCATTTTAATTAATGTTATTATAATGCTTTTTATATTTATTCTTCTGTTTTTGTTGGCGAAAATAGTAACTTCGTTAGTCGTGAATTTTAAAATCTAAAATATAGCAGATACCCTGTATAGAATATTGGCACTTTTCTTAACTAAGTATCCATCTTACACTTTTTGAAAAAAAGTAAAGAAAAAAAAACGCACTGACTTGGAAATGTTGAAATTTTACCTGGAAAACATGGTTTGAGTGACCACCCTGAATTAGCAAAAAATATCTTGACAAGAGGTTTCATGACATTCATTCAAATCACTTATGCCTTTAAAGCATTTTTGGAAAAAATTGTCGATTTCATACTTAATATATACTTTTTTTTAGAGCCTAATCTTTTTTACTGATTTAAACTAAAATTTGTGCTTCGATTAATCTGATTTTATTTGGTTGATTTGTTTACCTATTCTGCACACATAATTTATTTTAAGTTATATGAAGTTTTTTTTAATGATTTTTTTCTTTGTGTTGCAAGCAGATTTTTAATTAAAATTTATAATCAATTTTATTTCTCAGTTTGAACATTTTTGATCTTACATTATTTACAAACTTGGTTGAATGTGAGGATGGTTATACATATAATGTTGTTTGGATTCTATGTTTTGAGTTTTAGTGAATTCATTAGGAATGGTAAAGACACAAAATTCTCTTGTCTCTTAATTGCCTTGATTAAATTTACTAAGGTGTAGTTTATTTTATGTGTTAGGTAGTGTGCAACAGAAGCACACCTTATTGAACAATAAAATATTTAAAATTATTTATAACATTAAATTTAAAAGTTTGTTTTCAGAAAAAAAGATTTCACGTTATTTTCAGTGACCAAACCTATTTCTTTTGTATGCAAACAATGAATAAAAGTAGAAAATGTTTAAAATTGTAATATATGTATCAGTATATACACCTAGTAATTGAAATCCTTCAGATTATTTTTCATCGCAGATTTAGAAAACAAGCCTAAAATATTACTGAAAGGAGAAAAACGAAAAATATTTTTAATTCCTAAATTCAATTACTGTACTATGACTCAATAAAATTTGTTTGCCAATCTGCAGATATGTAAGTAAAAAAGAAATGATGACATTTGAAATTCTAAATAGTGTTCTTAATTAACTGAAATTTTAAAAGTTAAGAAAATTTTTAAGAAATAATTTTAATATCCGTAAACTCTATTTATAAACTGGATAGCGACTTATTCAGTTTTTTAAATGTTAATTATTCCATTAATATAAAAGTGCACAAAAAATTTCTTATAATTTTTATCTATCTAATTTGTGCTAATTTTGCTTACACACATCTTGGATATAGCATTATTTTTACAAAAATATGTCTGTACCTGATTACGTTATAATATAAGAAAATATCTCTGAATTAATCAGATGTGTAGAATCTCTCCAATCCAGATTTTTGCTATGTGAACATAATAAAAATCCAATCACTACTATATAATTTTTGTAATTTCAATTCTAATTAGTCTTTTTGTTAAGGTATTGAATTGAATGTAAGATTTGTTAGTACAAAATAGAATATTCCTAAACTAGAATTCTTAAAATTTTTACTCCAAATAGTTCTTTTGAAATTTAAAGAAGTCAACAAAAGCGATAAATTGCCAAATAATAAATTTTCTTTTCTGATGCTTTGAGGGCATTTTTTTCTTTTGACAAAATGTTTTAGNTCTAAATTTGTACTAAAACAGACATTTTTTCATTAAACTAATAAATTATTTAATTGATATCTTATCATAAAAAAGAAAAGTTTTTTATTTTATATAAAACTTAACATTCAAGTTTTTTCTTCCCGCTGAGTCGATTTCTGGATATTCACGCCTCTAATACTTTGAAAAGGGCTTTTTTTCTTGACAAATTTGTTATGCTAATTTCTTATAAAGAATGTTTGGCAATTTCTCATAATATAATAACAGACAATTAAATTTGTGATTAATTAGGTGTTAAATAACCTGATGTTCGTCTTCACGATGGTTACACTGAGTTATCTAAATTTCATTGTACTTAAGTTAAAAAATAATTTTATGTGTGCATGCTAACTTTTTGTAGTTTTGAATCAACATTTATTAATTAGATGACTTAATTTTCTGCTCTATGCTCAAAATTTCATAGTACTATTTGATCAATGTTCAGGAATCAGTAAATTATTTTCTTAATGTTTAATTTTTCTATTTCATTATTAGGCAAATGACACAAAGAAGAATATTCGTAAATTTTCTGGATTCCCATTTCAGGATGGTTCTTCTGATTTTGAACAAAAAAAGGATAAAGTGCAGAAGTATATTTTTATCATTAAATATTATTGCAAAATAGACTCAAAAATTATTTTTCAAAATGCTTCTGTTCAGTTTAACTTGTTTGGTATTGACATTGCTGTTTCTTGTTTAATTTTGAAAAATTTTCGTTCAGTTGAATTAAACTAAATGAAATTGAATTGACTCATTAAAGAATTTTTTATAAATGTTCAACTGACAAGCATTATTTTTGCTTAATATATCCTATGTGAAAAAGTGTTTTTATAATTAAAGATTATCAGTGATTGCAGGGCACCCAAGGATCAGAGAATGGATAAAAACTCTGTATTGTCAGAAAGTTTAATTTTGGCGCAAACTTTCTGAAGAAAATTAGGTTTTTTTCTTTTGCATGATTTAAAAAAAATAAATAAATCCTGGAAAATCAAGACTTAAGCATTTTATTTTGCTATAACAATTACCAGCTATTGAAATTTAACTTATCTTGTACTAATGTTCATTACATTTATTTATTGTAAAAATTTCATATTGCTGTTTAATGTTCGCTTGTTATTCTCTATCAGTCACATTTTTCTCACATAATTTAATATTTGTTCAGCTAAAAAAACAAATGCGATTTTCAAATGAAAAAATTGCTTGTATAAAGGGTAAAATGTAGTCTTGTGTAAAAAATATAAATTTAAAAAAAAACATGATTAATTTACTGAAATTCCAAAATTATAATGATAATCTATTTTAGAGGTTTATGACTATAGTACTATCTATGTGAAATAAAATAAGTATAAGAAAAAAATAGACTGTTTAAAATGTTATGAAAGTAATTTCTATTAAAATCATGTGTTCCAAAGATATTGTTGACATTTATGTGTTTTAACTGAAGTGTATTAAAATTTATTTTAGGTTTAGCATACCAGTTCTTAAAGGTATATGTGAAATTCTTGATATTGAACGAAGTGGAACTAAAGAGGATATTGTAATGAGGCTGCTACAATTTTTAGTTTGCCCAAAAGATTCTGGAAAAGCATTGCCAAAAAAAAGTATTTTTTTCACTATTCCTGTATTAGGTGAGGTTGTTTATACATTTTCATGTTGGTTAATCTATGCACTTTTAAATTTTAGAAACTTCTGGTCGAGATAAAAAGAATGCTTCTAAAAAGAAGGGTAAAGGTAATAATAAGAAGTCTAAAGCAAAGGATTCTGATGAAGAAGGTGATGAGGAAACTGCTATTAGTGTTGATGAAGCGAGTGATGCTAGTGCCAATGAAGAAGAAGAAGAAGAACCCAGTGACTCTGAGGTGAGAATTTTTGAAACTTCATTGTTCTGTCGTTTAGTTTTTGTCATTAAATTATTAATTAATTATCAATTGGTCATTAAATCTAGATTTAATTTTATTTTCTTGTGCTAAAACTAAATATTTGCTCTAAATAGACAATCTTCAAATTTAAGTGTACGTTTTTTTAAATGAGATTTTCTTCTTTAATTATTTTAGATTTAAATTATTTTATAATCAGATATGAAGATTATAAAATAAAAATAATATATTATTTTTCAATTACCCCCCCCCCTTTTTTTTTTTTTTTTTTTTTTTTTTTTTTTTTTTTTTTTTTTTTTNTTTTTTTTGCTGAAAATTAAATTTTCATTTTGGAATTCTGAACTTTAAATTTTTCTATTCTCGTTTTTTGGTTATTCAAGTATGCAGTTTGAGATCACAAGTTATTATATTATCCTATTAAATAAATTGATTTTAAAAATCATGCAAGAGTTATTGAACATACAAATCTGTCAAATTAACTACTGGAATAACTATGACCTATGCCAACTGGTTTAACAATGGAATGAAGAGTATTTACGCACATGTTATTCAAAATTTGTGTGTCTCAGATTTTATACCACACATGACTGTATACTTTCCTATCTCTTCAAGAAATTGGCATTTTGCCAAATCAGCAGGTTATATTCTAGAGAACTGTTCTTAAGATGAAGTGACAGTAGTTGAAAATTTAAAACCTTTTTTATTAGTTAACATTATTATCATTGAATCTCCTGATTAAAAATATCTATAAAAAATCGTAATATTTTTTTTTTGAATGAAAATATTGTTTGGCCGTGATAGAAAGCATTGGCCAAAATAGTAGATGGATAGGTAGAAGTGGATAGATAAAAGAAATTGGAGAAAAGATAGAAATAATAAGAATTTTTTTGTCAACCTTTTGATTTCATAAAAAATTAATAAAATTTGATAATTCCAGAACTAATATAAAAATGGTCAAGGTCCTTTTTAGCATTAGTCTTAAGAATGTGGCAGCAAAAAATTTATTTTACTGCAATTAATTTTACTAAAGCATAACAAAATCAGAGAAACCAAAAGGGAAAAAATCAAAAATAAGCTTTGATATTTGACAAAATGACACATGTTTATTTCTATAACTCAGAGTAGCTGTAAAAAAATAATTCTATTAGAAGTTTTTACAACTAACTAAACAGTGCAGTACAAAGAAAAAAAAATTCTTAGAATAATGTAGGAGTCAAAACATCTTCATATCAAAATAATTCTTTTTCTCTATTCTAATACATTCTCTTTTTTGAGCAAAATTTCAATTTTTCATCCATTTCAGAAGTTTCCTGTCATTTTATTTCAGAAGTTTTTACTTAGCCCACCAAACTTTTTTCTCTTGAATTTTTGATCTCGACCAAAAAAGTTTGCTCAACCCTGCTCTAGACGGTGCTACAAGTTGGCAAATAATTGAAAGATTCGAGGCAGGTTAATCTCAGTCTACCTGTTGCTGGAATTTGAGGTTTCGAGAAGTATGGTGTCCACTCAGGAAACAGGTCACAGAGACAGAACAGTGTTCATAGCTTTGTCAGGCCGCAAAAGGGTAATGCCTAATCCAGACCATTTTTTAAGACTTCTAGTGAAAAGGGATGGGTTAATAAAAGCAACACAACTATCTCCCCTACCTATATAATGCAACAGGAGCATCCATTACACTGATAACAGTTGCCCAAGGACTTGATGCTAGTGACCTATTTGCCAGGTAAGAACAGTTGGTGGACAAATGCTTATAATCATTAGATATTCAATGATTGGAGTAGCCTGCAACCTCCCTTGACCTTAAACGAATCAAACGGGTTTAGCTCAAAGACCAACTCTAACGACTCTCTAGGACATGGGTGGCGAACCTTTATGCACCAACGTGCCATTTTTTCTAAAATGTATTTTAATGAGGTCATAGACGTGCCGACAAATAGTTTTGACTTCGTGATTATTGGGTAAATAATAATACTAAATTTTATCAACTCAAAACTCTTTTTTTTCTATGAAAAAATTTTATTCTCAACTTTTGCAATGTCTCAGTTATATGCTTAATTCAACTTAAAGTAACATCAGTGTGACTTCTGTTGTTGCAGATTAGATGACAAATAACTTAGATTAGGGTTATAAGATGTTAGTTTAAGCAGAACTGTTATATTTTTTTGCTAGTTATTTATTGTTCACTTGTTTTTTTGTGGTTATTAATTGCTTTTTTGGCTTTAATTGTTCTTTTTTTGTGAATTTTAATTGAATTGTTAATATGCTTCATAGTAAACTTTGTGATCGGTGGGGTGCCCAAAATATTGTGTCGCGTGCCACTGGTTCGCCATCCCTGCTCTAGGAGCTCACAGAGATTGGTTAAGACCTTAGTAAGCATTATAAAATGCTGATGGTAGAGGTGCTGTTAGAGTTGACCACACAACCTATTTTATTTTATAACCGTCGTTAAACAGCCAATCCAATTTTGGGTTTATGACTACTTATGTTAACTCCAAATCCAGACAACAAGGGAGCTCCTGGATCAAGCATTGAGAGAAATTAACCTTTGTGGAGGACTTTTTGAGAGGGCAGGAGAGGAAAACTATGAAAACCTCCCATGGTCAACCAGATTGCAATTGGTCTCTAACCCATGATCCATCTACCACTGAGGATATTTTACGTCAGCGCTGTGTTCAATGTGAGCCGGGTGGAGACGCATGTTTTTTATTTACCTACATTGTTAATCAATCAATTTATTTCTTTAATATTTCGTGTGTTTCTTACATCTTAATACACTATCCTTTATCTGCTATAGAGTCTAAAACTGCATAGGAAGAATCCATGTTCTGTTTTTGCAAAATTCTCAGTACCTATCTTGCATTAATCTTTATTTGCTTGGTTAAAACTGTTAAAGTAAAATAGATGAAGTTTAATATATCTGGTTAATACTCAGCTTTTTTAAATTGTGAATTTGTGTTTAAAATGGTATCTAATCATTATGTATTGTATTTTCCTTGTTGCAAAGATTTGTCTTACCACAAAACCTTTTTTTTAATGAAGAAAGTTTTTGCTACTAGCTCTTTTTCTTGATACAAACATTAATTTTACTGACAAAAAGAAATTTCTACAAAAAAAAAAATTAGTGAGCACTACCTTTAGGCTTTCTTTTTCAGACTAAGAAAAAATCAAAAGCAAAAAGCAAAAAAGCTCCTGCAAAAGCAAAAACTGTTAAGAAGGAAAAACCAAAAAAGGAAGCTAAAGGAACAAAGAGGAAGAAAGGTTAGTATTTTTCTCAATTTTATATAATATTAAAGATTAAACATTTATTTGAATGTCACATTCTTATTCTTTAAATTGTTATAGATATCGTTATAGATGACAGCTCTGATTCTGAACCAGCTGAAAAAAAATCGAAACTCCCTGATGTAAGTAATTAACCTCTTTCTCTTTACTTAATATTAAAATTTTAATAAGAAATATGTGATTTGCATTCTGTATGCTATGTTAAGATAACTTGTTTTTGATAAAGTCTGCTTTTTATTTAAAATCAGTTAAAAGCACTGCATGAAGTTATAGGGATGTACTGACTAAATATGAATTTCATAGTAGTAGGAATGGAAAGTTTGTTATCTTGTTCCATTATGCTATTTATGTCTGATTCTGCGCCAATTTTAGTTCTTTCCTTCCTAGCATTAATGGTACTGTGGTGTCTCTTATCTTCTAGTTCCTTTGTCTAAGTGATAAAATGATAACCTTTTGTTAATGAATTAATATCACAAAAATACCAAATTAGCGATAAAGTGGCTTTCGTTTCTCGTGATACATTGGGACACTGACTTCAGCCGCCAATGTAAGAAGACGCTTCCCTTTTTTAATGTCGGATGATCATTGCCTATGCTTTGATTACATCTTTTAAATATGAAAAACTTTCAAAGATATTATTAGAAAGAAAAAAAAATTTATGAAAATTTTTTGAATTTCTTAGAAATTTAAAACAATTGTTGTTTCTTTCAATGTTTGTGTAGTTTATCTTTGTTGAAATGGCACCTTTCTCAGTAGGAGAACATAAAGAAAATTTAAACATTTTACGCACACATATTTATATTACAACAAGAATGTTAAAGAAAATTTTGTTGTGAACTTCTTTGTTTCAAGGATGAGATTTTTCCGCTTTTTGGCGGATTTCCACCTTTTTCACTTCTGTCTCTTGAATTTCTGCCTTATTATCAAAAACTACGATTTTCTAAAAGTTTCAGTTTTTTAAATAAATGTTTCGCCTTTTCTGAAAATTAAGTCGTTGAAATAAAATAATTATATTTATCTCCGATTTGATATATAGATATAATATATCGAAAGATACAGTGAAACCTCTCGGTAAAGGCCACCTGTCCTTCCATTGAAAATTGACCCTTATGGGGGGTGGCCCTTAAATGGGGGTGACCAAAAAATAAAATGAGGAAATCAAAATTTGTGTAGAAAAAAACTGTTTATTAACATTTTAAGTTTTTTACATGTTTAAAAAAATTTTCAATTGAAGTTTGTTTACTTTTTACAATTTTTTCACAAACAATTTTAGTTTCTAATGATTCCTTAACTCTATAAAACAAATTAGTTAAATTCGCATCATTTATTAGTGCCTTGGATTGGGATATCAGTTTATTTACTTCTATTAGCGTTTCTTGGTTTGATAAATATGGCGCGGGGGGGGGGGGCTCATGGGACAGGAGAAAAATGGCCTTTATTGGAGGTAGTCAGGAAAACGTGGCCCTCTAATGGGAGGAAAATTAACATTATGTCTATGGGGAAAATTTTCGTTCCTCAAAATATTGGCCCTTAATAGAGGTGGCCCTTAAGTAGAGGTGGTTTTTAGGAGAAGTTTCACTGTATATTGAAAATTCAATCTACATAGCTGCTAACCCTTATTTTAGCTTTTACGAGCAAAAAATAAGATTTTCTTAATTTTGCCTCTTACGCTAGATAGCTCTTATTTTAATATCAAACAACGATTTTCGTATTTACCTGATTTAAAAGTTGTTCACTGCGATTCGTATTCACGCGATTTCGATATCGTTCATTGCATTTCTTATTTACGAGATTTAAAAATCCAATATCGCGATTTGTATTAAGGCATTTTTAAAATTCTATGTAACGATTCATATTCACGGCGAGTTTATCCATTGTCGTGATTCATTTTTGCGGTTGTAATATTCAACATCTATCTTCGTATTTACATGTGATTTAAAAATTAGCCTTTGGATTCGTATTCACGCCATTTAGAAATTATGCATCGTAATTTGTATCTACGCAATCTGAAAATTACGCATCATGATTTGTATTTTCACATTTTTGAAATCCAATATCGAGTTTCATTCACGTGATTTCTATATCGTGATTTATATTCACGCAATTTTAAAATCCAAGATCGCGACTCTTGTAAAAAGTAAATTTTTTTTGAATTAGTTCCTATAAATGTGGCAGTTTTTGTATCGGCGATTATTGCTGTATGTAGGCATTACAACATCAGCGAAACTGGATGAGAATATGTTACTGATATTTTTGCTATAAATCACGATTTACTCCCATGAAAATTCTGCTTTTTTGCCTTTTGACCAATCTCATCCCAGTTGTTTAATATCCTCAAAGTATGTGTTACTTCTTTAAAGTAATATTTTTTCTCTATGTGTTTTAAATTTATAACATAGTTTAATGCTGAATTAAATAAAGTAACAATAAAAGAAAAGCAACAGGAAATGTTACTGCTCTCAAAAATTCCACTTTTTAATCAATTTTATAAAAGCAGAAAAAAAAAATTCAGTTAATAAATAGAGTGCATACACCTGGAAAAAGCTAAAAACTGATCTAAATTTATAATAAAGCAGATAAAATCGTTTACCATCTTATAAAATCATAAATGCCTTTCTAGGTATATAGAATTTTTCTAACCATTTACAAGAAATGATTTTCGACATGCAAGTGGTCAAAAAATAAATAAATTGAGAATGCTGCATCAGTTTAAAAAGTATACACTTCATTCTTTTAAATTTTCTTATTTTATTTAAACTTTGCACCTGTTATAATATTAACCAACTTTAGTACCACTGATAATATTCATGCATTATTGAAATTAAAAACGATCCCATGATTTCTTAAAGAAACTCATAATTAATTGTTAAAAAACTTTGTGCTATTTATTGAATAATTTTGTAATAATCTTTCATAACCTGACCTTGTTCTCTCTAAGCAAATGTGTTTTGTGAACTAAATACAAAGCATGAAATAAGGTAAAAGGTATTAGAGTTTTTCTTTTAAAAATATTAGAGAGTAAAAAAATAGAACATAAGTAGGAAAAAGGAAGAAATAGCAATATTGCTAAAACTTCGCTTAGTACATTTTAGAACTAAAATTTATAAATAAATTTGTAAAAAACGATGTATTTATAATAAATAATTCTATACAATCATTACTTAGGTTAAGTTTTCTTATATGTTTATATTCATTTATAATATAGTTTTAAAAATCTAATTTTTTTATCAATAAAATGAAATAATCCTGATTAAGATGATGTTTTAAGGCAAAAGAAAAACAAGCTAAAAGTTCATTTATAAAGAACAATAAAATAATTGTAATTCTGAAAATTGATAAAATCACACCTATGATATAAATAAGGTCCTCATTTAACAAATTTTTATCTGCAATCAAATGTAACACAGTAAAGGACCCTATTTTAATGTGGTACATCAATTGTCTTCGATTGAAATAACAAGAAGAAATGGTAAAAAGAGAATTTCCCCTTCAAACCAACCACTTGTCACATGTCATTCTGTAGCATTCACTCTACCTACTATTACTGCTTTATAATATGACTGCTGGCTATTTAGAAAGATTTAAGATAATCATGCTTTTTTTCTTTCAGGATGAAGATATTAAACAGCTAGTGAAAACGATTCTTGAGGAAGCAAATCTACATGAAATAACCATGAAGAAAGTTATTAAGCAGGTACAAATTGCACATTTTTTGTATCAATTCAAAACTTTCTAATTTCAACTCTAAAATTTTTTGTTGATTTGTTTTAGGTATATGATACTTACCCTGACTGCGATTTGACAGACAAGAAATCGTTCATCAAAAAGACAATTAAGACGGTATAGTTAATCTCTCTTTTTTTCCTTATACAAAATATTAAGAGTGCTGAAACGATTGTATCTTGTTTCTTTTGAGAGTTACCACACTTTTAGCATAAGAGTCATTTTATGAGCATTTTTCTGTCCCCCATCATAATAAAAATTTCAAAATTTTTAGACCACTCGCAGATAACACTAAAAATTCAAACAGTTTTAGTTTATACTTTTTAGCTGAATTATTCATGTTTCATGCTATTTACTAAATCTTCTTTAGAAATATTTTATCAAATTCCTCTTTAACCTTTTAATTTATTTATATATACAAAAAATCTAAATGTCATTTTATACTTAATGAAATGCTGTTAAACATATTATCCTAAACAGTATGATGGTATCAACAATATCTTAAAGTTATTTTTTAGAAAAATTAAAATTGACAGTGAATTTTTCTTGACAGTAGCATATATTAATTCATTATCTAAATTTTTTATTATCTCTTTAATTTACACGGTGACCAATAAGTTCTCATACACTTTAAAATTTTCATTACAATAATACTAAATCAATCATGCAAAAGCTTTTTGTATCAAATTAAAGGAGCTATCTTTGAGTATCTTTAAAATGAATGCTTTAGAATAATTTTACTTTATTAATGAGTTTGTCTCATTTCAAATCCATCACACCCAGCTAGTAATGCCTGTGTTGACATTTTCTGGCATCTTTTAAAAAAAATTTTTAAATAATTATTTGGTTGGGAGAGTTCAACAAAATAATGAAACATGGTTAGATTATTTTGTTGAAAGTTTAGATGGGGACCATTCAGGAAACAAAAATGTCAGCTAAATGTTTGCTGCACCACAGTTAAACTGTATGTGCGGTATGAAAAGTAGCACCTTGCTGGAAGCAGAAATATTCCACTCCATACTCTGGACACTTGGGAATAAAACTGTTTCAAAAGTCTCACTTTTATGATATTGTTCATTGATTTTTACTCCTTTTAAAAAAAAAAACTTACGAGAGAGCCCCCAAACCATCACAGACGAATCATTTTCACAAAGTGGAACATAATGCTGGATCTCAGGAATTTTATCAATATTGAGACTTTGCTGTGAAATTAATGTTTTCTCATCTGAAAAGACAAACTTATTCTCAGTGTGCCAAGCAAGAATTTCATGCATCCTCTGCTTCCTTTTCATTTTAGTAGTTTTTGAAAGTCCATGAATTTTGCTTTTTCTATAAGCTTTGCCCCAAGGTCTTTTCTCATAATGTTTAACATTGATCCAGGGTTTCCGCTACGGTAGCTTTTTTCGCTAAATGCGAAAAGACCCCTCAAAAATGCTAAAATTCAACAAAGCATTTTCGCATTTTTGCTAAAGGATTTTACTAAATTCCATTAAAAAAAAAAAGCTTCCGCGAGAAACCATGACGCTAACATCCATGAAAAAAACTTGATCAAACAAGGAGGAGAAAAAATCTAAATATCTTTCGCAAGAAGAACCATGACGCTAGCGTTCACGAAAAAAACGTGATCAAACGAGATGAAGCATAGCGATCAACAAAAATGGCTAGAATATATGAGTTTCACCGAGAAGAAAAGAAAAATAAACTAACCACAAGACTAAAAACAAGTTTTCCCTCCCCCTCAACCTTCTGCTGCAAGTAGGAATGCGACACAAAGAGAGATCTTTTCTGAGAAATCGGGACTTCATTTTTCTACGCTTTTTATTGGTTGAAGCAGACGTGTCTCCCGCTTTCAAACACTGATTTCGTCATCACGGTTTCTCGGCGGCGTGATTGCATACTTTTCTCGCATCTTGCACGTTTTACGTTCGTTAGAAAAGAATTAAAAGTTGCCTATTT